TTTTTTTTTTCTTTTCTCTTCCCGTCCTTTGCATTTTCAGAATTTCTCAATTAAATTTCATGATTCCTATGAGTGACATTTAAAGAATAGTTGAGAGCTTCAATTTTTTAAAATTATGCCGGAAAAATATTTCAAGTAAATATCTGCTGAAAACAAGCAATTTTTTCTGTCAAGTGCACCAGACTCTTCAATGCTTTGAAGTTCGGTGGAGAGAGGCAATTGCATCAAATTGTTTTTGTAACACGAAACTTTGTCAGTTTGGTAGCTCTTGTATCTGCCAAACCGTGACAATCTATGATTGATAGGGTTTTTAACCGCCTTTAAGAAAGAGAACAAGACAAACAGCTCTTCTTTACATATAATTGAAATATTTACAAAAGATCTAAGGTTTAACCTAGGCCGATTTGGCGAGTCGATTTGGTGATAGGGGTTCAAATTCAATCTGTTTCTTAGAGTAATGAGTGTCCATAAATCTCGACTCACTATAATAATTATTTTATATTTACAATTTTTTCATAGTTGGTATATTAATTACCAACTACAAATGAAATAGAGTTAGCCATTGGATTTATGAAGAGTGATGCAATTGTCGTATGCAGAATCTGACGTCAAGAGTGACACTCAAGTAGTTCATTGCAATTCATAGAAAAATATTGCATCCAGTTTTGCCCACATACGGATCGTTATTGTTTTCTCAAAATATGAACATTGAGATTAATAACATGTAAGTAATATTAGTTGAAATGTATATGTACACATAAACGGATAAGTAAAGATCTGTTTGGGATGAACATCGAATTATGTTATTGTGGACGTACATTAAAAAAACTGCTGCAGTGAATGATACCATCACAGCAAAGGGAATGCGTCAAATTTTTCAAATAGTTTTCAACACCGACAGGACAGTATAGTTCTTCAAAAGCCATGTATAAGGTCTAAACAGTTCCAGTGATTTCTACTAGGATTGTGCAGGTACTTTACTGAGATATGTCGGCGAGACGGATTTTCATACATTTGCAATTTTCTGAGACGCTCCAGTGACGATGCATCGACTGTTCCTCGTGTAAACCAAATCCAGGGGCGCCCCGTCCTATCCTATCCACGAAGTCACCCAGAGCCCTCGCTACTTCACACAGACGGCGCTTGCAGCTCTGCCGCCGTCACACGACTACAAAAAAAGTTTCTCCAAAAAACACCACAGCCTACTTTCTTGATACATATCCTACGTTGGGACACGACACTAAGTGTGTTGAACTGTAGATCCCGCGATTTTCGATTGTCCGGTATCACAAATGTTCAGAAAAAAACTCTCAAAAACTCTACTGCGTCTTCCGAGGAGAAGCTCCCCCTCGGACAAGCGGGCAGGTGCGCTGCGGCCCGAGCGCTGCGACCCGGGACGCGCGGACGGGTAGCACTACAAGCATCGGACGAATAGGCGGACCGCAGCGCTGCGCAGCGCTGCTGTGCCAAGTGAACAGACGACGGGAGCGCTCTTCCGCTGTTCGCCGAAATCAAATGACTTCTTCGGCGAACAATCCATGCCAAAATTGCGATTTCTCGATGAGAGAAGGCGAGTAAATGTATTTATGGAATAAACATCGTAAGACATCTTTCTAGAACGTAAGGCTGGAGAATAATCAAAAGAGGTCGCTAGGCCAAAGAACACTTGTGTTCCAACTCTTTTTATAAAATGGGAGTCAGTTTCTACAGTATGACTTAGATAATTAAAGTGAATTTACATACTTTTTATTTTAGTGGCTTTACTCTTTTGTTTCGAGATTTAATTTATCGCATCAAATTAATTTGCAACTTAATATTGCGTCTCATCGAGAATACATTTTGTAGCATTGATTGTTCTACTAAAATAACATTTTATTTCAGTTCTAGTAAACATTTCTTAAGGATATGAAGCAATTTATTCTGTTGCTCTTTATTCTTTATGGATTTTCACAGAAGTGAAATGTTCAATATATTTTACTCCTTGTTTCATACGAGCTCCGTTGTTCACTTGGCACTCGCACATTACACAAAATTTTTTGTTTTAGCTAGAGTTTGGAATGCGAGCGGAGGTCAGATTGTGCCGACTGTAGGTTGTTTCATACTCTACAAACATTTCCGTCAGTCTGTATCTTTAGGCTTTCACAAACGGTGTATACATTATTCATCAGTGCTTACATTAAGCTCTGATTACCCTTGCCTGAAAGGAATACATCGTAAAAGGCGTGACATCTTGAAGAGAGTGTTACCAATACGAAGTGAATCACTCCTGACATCTAGTCATTCGCTTCCGCTCTTATTCAAAACTCACACTCAGCGCTGCGGCTCACTAGAAACACTTGTGGAAATATTTTGCATGGGCGGGTACGAGGGAGAGAAGGTAACGGTCTCTACATCCCTCGGATAAAACTTGGAAACATACTCCAAAATCGCTACCATCTCACGTCATACCTCGTCGTAATTGACAACGTCCATCTTTCATACACATTATGAATTCTCTATCCATCCCACTTATCAATATGTTAAGACATTATTTCCATTACTGCCTTCTCCAAACACTCGTTTGCAGAATCTCCCAACATCTTTCCAACGGAAGCACACAAGTGGAATGGAAGGTAGCGCCTTGAACGGACTCTTCTTCTTTCAGCACCATAACACCATAACGTCGCGTACCGCCGCTTCCCATCGCAACCGCCGAGGGCAACTCTATGCCGGTCTGGCCACTACAGCAGCACTTGTGCGTTGCACGTGGGCGGGTCGCGAGCATTTTGATAACGCTAAAACAATTGAATAAATGGAACAATGAGGAATGCGCATACAATTTAATTATATAGAAAGAATTATTTAGTAGAAGGTGCCCGAGAGAAGTAAGTCAAGTTAAGCCATATCTGTATTTCGCGAACAAAATGCGTTGGAAATTATGTGTTGGCTATACTGCGTGATGTTTTATGTTAATCGCAGAGGACGAAGGTCAAAGACTTGGAAATTCGCGAGGGAAAAAGTGAAAATTGCCGTATGAAATTGGCTATTTTTTGCTCAGCTAACTTCTTCCAATCACCTTCATGCGTACAACTTTTTGAATCCCTCCCCTTCTACATAGCGCATTCCACAATGGTCCCGTTTGTTCATTAGTTTTAGCCGTTTATCGAAACAATTCTCGCGAGTGGGGGCCATTGTGCGCAACGCAGGATTGGATTAAGGTACTGCAGCACTCTGGGCCACAGCAGCACCCTGGGCCACTGCAGCACACTGGGCCACTGTAGCACACTGGGCCACTGTAGCACAGCTACGAGACCCCGAAGAAAGAAAGGTCATCAGTAGACAAGCATTCTTACTTCTTCTTCGTGATCTTTAAAGAAAGTCTTCATATTGTCTGGCCACAATATTTCTAGATCGTTAACTTGTTTGAGCGGCTTGCACAAGGCGAGCCACATGCTAATACAGTGATAAGTTGAAATTGATCGAAACTCATGTAATGAATAATTCATAAAATTCCTTGCAGCGGAAGACACACTAAAACATTTAAAATAAAATTCGTAAACACTTTATTGTAAGTCGTATAATTTACAACACAAAACAATGCTCATTACTCAAATCAAGAATGACGTGGCTCATTTTCGCCCCCAAATCCATCTCATTCACAGAAATGCTTTTCCTTCTCATTAATTTTCGAGGGCCTTTCCGTCGGGTCCAGTGGCTCCTGGACTGTGGCCCACGGAGCTTGCCTTAATCCCATCCCGGCGCTAGCGGGCGCGTACGCGCGCCGGCCCCCTGCAACTCCAGGCGACCCAGGACGCCGCACCACAGCGGCCGCGCCGCCCCGCAGACCTCGGGGCCCACGGCCTCCTTCCTCTGAGTCTTTGGATGAACCATTGTTACACTATATATGTATAATATACAAAACAATAAATAAAATCTTAACATTGCAAATATTAATATAAAAGCTAGTATACACAACCAACCGTACTCAGGCAGCTCGTCAATATAAACGTGTATCAAACATAACGTACCCTCGTGGTATAGAATTAGTGACAAATGAACAATAACTGGCGCATACGCGCTTACAATCTAGTCGCACTCCCAGGTGCCACGTAACACATCTAATCAACTTATCATAATAAGCATAATGTGTTATCAAATATGTATATATTTATAGCTTTCTGTTAAAACATACGTAGTATATAAAAAATAAGACGAACGTTTGCGCAGGCAAAAAAGGAAGGTCACCCGGTCGAACGAAGGAACCAAGAGCAGAGTCTCCCTTCTTCTCTTGACGTCACTCTGCCTTGCGCGCGTTTCCAGTTCGTTAGTGGTCAGGAAGGGCGAAGAAATGTTATTTCCTGAACAAGCTCCGGCGCTTCGAAGCCGTAACGCCGTCGAGGCAAAGATCCATTCGATCCCTCCTACCCGTGATGATTCGGATCACGATATGACCAAGCGGTCACATGGATGATTATGTTTGTCAAAGGAAGAAGTGTATGTTGCAGTTACAAACCAAGAAACACTTTCACTTTAAATATAAAGTAGGAATGTATCATTCTCCATGTGACTTGGAATGAGAATGAATGCCCAAAACATGAATTGCATCAGTGAATAAATCAGCACACAGAAAACCAAAAAGAACGTTTAATTGAAAAAGCCGATGTTTAGTTGCCATTAAGTTCAAATAAGCTTTCAAGCTCTTAACCAGTTACAAGCAAGCTGGTTGTGCCCACATGTAAAGCCATTTTGAAAAATTCTTTTACGTTTTCTGTGTACTATTTCGTAGACAACCATCAGTGCGTTAACTACACTGTTTAGTCACGTCAGCGATCCGAGATTCATCTTGCAGCTATACACGACCGTGTACGACCAAACGGAGATTCATAGTGAGTAAAAATCTAAGCACGAAGTCTAAGATAATAGTTACCTTCGGTAAATTAATTAAAAACAAACAAACAAAAGAGTCACGAAAAGCCGAAATGCGAACTGCGTCGGGGGAGGGCGCGGGGCGCGGCCGGGCGCTAGCAGTCCGCGGATGCGCTGTAGAAGACGGGCAGCGGGATGCGGGTGGCGCCGCCCTCGGGCTTGGAGTCGCGTCGCGGGGCCGGCGCCGTGGAGGCCGACGTCGCCGTCGACGCCACCGACGACTTGCGCCCGGCCGACGACGGCGGCCCGGCGGGGGAGGCGACGGCCGCGGCTGCGGCCGCGGCGGGCCGGATCACTCCGTTGCCGTGCACCCACGCGCTGGTGAAGTCGAGCCCGGCGTCCGGCAGCGCGGCCGGGGGGTCGAGCGGCGCGGGGTCCGCCGCCGGGGGCACCACGTCGCTGTACTGCTTGATGATGTCGCGCATCTTCTGGAGCACCGATTCGTCACTTCCCAGGTCGTCAGCCTGCAAGCACCAGGGCACGATGTGTCAGGACACATTTCGGTTGACAGATTTATCTACTTAGGGTTTAACACCAGGTGGTAGATTTCTAAGAGATACAACACTCATCGAACGAACATAATTACTTTAAAACTCATTTACCAAAGAAAATGGCAACACAAATACATTCAAAGCGTCATTTTAATATATATATAATGTGTGTGTGTGTACATATCTATACATATACATATATTCATATTTATGTTCATTCATTCATACTTACTACATATAACGTTTTCAGACACCCATACTTACGAACGTGAATTCGGTTTTGGTCTTAGTTATACATGGCAATTGGGGGTTGTTGGTACATAGATTGATTTATGGTGTTTTTCAGCGAGTCAACGTCTATGGTCAATATTCAATTAAGTATAGTCCATATTATGCTATGGTGTGTTCCTACCCCTCTAGAACGGGAAATCCGGCGCTGACCTGCACTTGACTTGCGCGCGTTTCCCCCATCAGGTATCTTCACCAGCGGTACACTGTCTAAGTCTACATAAGCTCCAAGCTACCAACTGGGACTTTATATTATCCAGTGCGACCAGGGATGTCAACAGTTGGGATCGTGGAAGAATATTCACTAAAATGGTTTATGCATAATGAAGGTCGAATTGCATTATTAGTCTAAATAACTCAACGTTATCGGGGCACGTTTCAATCGATAATAGCATAAAGAAACCTGAAGTTTGTTTATAAATTTCATTCTTATTTTTGCATAGAAACTCAAAGCAGATTGTGGGAGCATACGTTTACCCATTTCGTTCAAAAAGGAAGTTATTTAAACAAACTTCTTATGGAGCAAAGAAACACTTCACATCCGCATTTTAAACCCAAAATAACAGACCGCGAGATCGTGTCTACTATTTTCCTATGCAAGCACTACGAAATCTACAGTACACAAAAGAAAAATTCTACAGCATGAATTTTTGAATTATTTTCATGTCTTTTTACAAGGTCCATGTGTTTCATTCATCAGCAAAATATTCGAGGGTAGTACATGTTGAATACGTCTACGCGTCTTGCAATATGATAACCATTGTCAACCAACAATATTCTTAGATTCTATAAATGTCCATTTAAAAATATATTATTGAGGACAATAGAAAATTACCTCCCGAAGTCAAGTGTATATCACTCCCCCTTCCACCACATGCGTTTGCTAATCAACATACCTCTCTACTTGGCGAGGAAATTCTACGCCATACCCCATTTGGTTAGCGGTGAATGTTTTATGTCGTAATTCGAGCCGATGTTAAAAACGAGGTAATTATTGAAAGTGATATGAATAACGCACAATGACTTTACGGCCATGCGACCCGAAGTTATTGGCCCTGCCTTCACACTGCTCTCCCGATTGCGAAGTTTTACGTGCACGACCTTCCTGGCAAGTAAATCAAGGCTGTTTATGTTTGAGCAGTGTAACGAGCTGCTTTTAAACAGTCAAGCGTTTTAATGACCGCTAAGTCTTACGGTGTTGAACAGGAGAACAAAAGGCAAGGATTAACAATTAAGTAGCCGTTTCGGAGCGCGGTTATCATGGTTCACGATCACGAAAGAGAATGTGAAAAATCCACGAATTGTGCCTGCGTTGCCGAACAGTAGAAATAGTACTGGGACACATCGGCGGACTACGCCTGTATTACTAACAGCGCGACCTCATTCGAATGACGTCGATCAATGGCGGCGGCGAGTTCGTGACCGGGGAAGACCTGGCACAACACGAACGTCGCTGAGGTCACCGGCTAAAAAGGTCGGCGCATTTCCACCCAGATTTACCTCTAACCGCGACGGATGTATGTAAGCGCAATCGCCTCTCTATTTCAACCAAATTTCACAACGGAGAACAGGTCTTTTCGCGTACTATCGTAATTCATCGTTTTTGTCGTTTTCTGCATGTAGACATAAATCTAATAATACAAATAAAACCGAGTGCCTATAATTAACAAATACCCTATTTTGAATATTGAAGGAATTTCAGGAAGTGAAGAATTGTATGGTACATACATCGGAAAGAGAATAATTATTTTCAGTTCTTAGTAAATGTAATTCCCAAAATAATTTCAAATATACTCAGTCTTCACTTCATGTTACGAAGCAAGAAATGAATGACGTATCCTTAAGATCAGAGCCGGATTTAACGAAAGCAAAATTAGCATTTGCTTATGAGTTCCATGTGGTTGAAGCGTCACGAAAAAAAGTCATTATATATTCCAGAATTCATAATGTGTGTTCAAATCCGTAAAACGATGTTAATCAAATAGTCTGAAATGTCTTTATATTATAATTCTTAATAAATCTGGAGGATTTGTTTCCCGAAGAAGATCCCCAACATGTTGAGCTTAGAGCCACGCAATCCGGCTCTGACTGAGAATGATTTTCGAGTCTAAATTCTCTTTATACTTATTCATTTATTTCTAAAATTTTAATTTTTCACAACAAACCTTGTGCGTTTTCAAGTTGTTTTTTTTTATTTTATAGAACTGTTGGTAGAAAGGGTAGCCATTAATAAGAGACAATGGTTGGTAACGTCATCAACAGTGCGAAAAATATTAACTATTCCTTTTCTTATTTTTATTGATCAGTATTAATGGTTTCTACGACAGCTAACCACAGACCGATTTTAGATTCTTTCTTTTGACAATTTTTAGTTTTAGTGAACATGCGCATGCGCACAACGGAGAGCTTCTGTGCACATGCGCACGTTGGCTAAAACTCCCGGAACCTCCTCGGTGAGTAGTGGTTAGCATATAGGGTTGACATATCCACGTTTGCGGGCTCAACCCCATCGAAGCCACATTTTTTAAGAACAAAGAAAATCCTTCGTATGTAATCCTTAAGAGGATAAGTAAAACAGGCTGTCCCATGCTGTGAAGTAGCTGTAAATGAAAGATTCTCAAACCTGAAAGTTGAGTCTCTGAGCTATATTCAAATTGCGTATTTCGTCAACCGAGTGACACCTTCTTTCTCCGATAGACGACGAAAGAAGCGTAGCGAAATTTATGCGATCAGACGGAAGAGCAGGCCTGATGGCCTGAGCATCGCCAAGAAAAATAAAGTATCATTAACAGATTGACTGAAATAATTCCTCAAAAGGAAGAGCGTAAATTAGGCCATAGATTATAAGCAACAGTTACTTCAATGATCAAAACTTGTCAAAGAGTAGTTGGTAGTGTCCTCTTTGGGCCCCTTCACACAGCGCCACTCAGTAACCGAGTGACGCGACTCAGATCCCGAGTGACGCGTCTGCTAGCAACGCATTGGTTTAAATGAAGGTAATCACATGAGCGGCGAAGTTGCGTTGCTGTGGTGCTCGGCGGCGAACGCCCCCCCCCCTCCCCAGTTCTAAATGGCAGCCTTCACACTTGACCACTCGGTCGCGCCACTGAACCGGTTTTTGCCTACAGCCTGAGCCCACAGCAGGAAACCTTCCTCCCGGTCGGTGGCGTTCGGCGTCGGTTGTGTCTGAAGAGGCGCTTCTCGGTGGCGCCAGCGTGTGGCTCCGTGTGAAGGCGGAGCGCGGAGTGTTGTGACTTACCGCGAGGATCTGCTGCAGCAGCGGGGAGAAGTTCTTGGTGGGCGAGCCTGAGGGAGGCGGGCAGCGGAGTTGCTGCTGGTGCGGGCGGCCGGCGGCGGCGGCTGCTGCTGCGCTGGCAGTGCGCCGTGGGCCGCGGGCGCGCGCGCGGGCGAAGAGTGCGCGCTGCTCCGCGCCCCCGGCGCCCAGCTTAGCGGCCCTGCGGGGAGCCGCGCGTCGGCCCCAGCGACTCGGGGCGCGGCCGCCCGGCCGCGGCGCCAGCTGCCTGCCCCCGGCCCCAGCCGCCACGCCCGGCCCACGTCTGGAGACGCGCCCGGCACAGGGTGGCGGCGCGGGTTCGCGGGCGCAGCGACGTCCTGTCCAACACAACACGCCAACATGTCAATTCTCTCTTCTCTCCTGCCTCTCCTGCAAATTAATCGGCCCTAGATTTGCAGACATCTCTCCAATCTTTCACCTTTAATTATTTTAAACAATAGTATTTTAAGAAGATCAGGGTGGGTTTAACTACGGTGCGCAGGAAATTCTCCACATTAAGCCGAATTAAGGATTCCTATTAAAAGTTCGATTTATGGGGTATCTCAGATACTGCGAAGACAAGAGAAAGCGGAACATTTACTTTCAGCAACTATTTTGATTGCGGTGAATAGGAAGTTACTTTTTTTCTTTTGTTACAAGATTGCCAGTGCGGTCTTCTTCGACCATAATTTTCTATTTAAGCCCTCAACGCGCAAAGAGACTTTCAGGGCGCGCTGTAATCAACTATTTTCTGATAGATACAAAACTTCACTTTTGCATGGATATCAACTACTTAATGAAGAATAATGACGAGTCGGTGTATTCGGAGAGCTGGGCGATTTATTTCAGCGAGAAATAATATACGTAATGATTGTATGTTGTGTTAATTATTTTTTATTTTTTTATTTATGATATGCAGGGGGTTTTTGAGGCGAGGACCGGCAGTTCAAACACTATCGTCTGGGTTGCTGGTAGCGCGTTTTTGATGTAATCGATGAAGATCATTGTGAAGGAGGCAATGATTGTGAAGATGAAGAAAAATTGTGGAAATGGGTGTAACCTGGTGGAGTAAATCTGAGGAACACTTGGTTTCCCCAAAATCAAGACATGGGTGGACTAGATGCAATGCGGGTCAGCGGGGAAATATGAACGAGAATGATTTAAACGGGGGTCGCCCAATGATTTTTAAGAGAGAGGGGCAACAGTGTAGGCTTATCTTTGCCTTCACGCAGAAAGTGGAAAGGAGCATGTCTTACAAGAAGATGAATTCAAAACCCTCGCGGTTGCCGGCAGCAGGTCGTCTGCGCCCACAGCTGCCTCATCTGCATTGCAATCTGCTTAGGAAGTCGGAGTGAATCCCGTCTAAGATGTGTAAAGGAGGCAATTCAAAGAGCGTGAGAGGAATGTTACCCATGGTAATGAAATTCAACGAGCAATTTGCATTCAACAAATATTATTGGGCAAATGAATAAAAATTTACTCTGCAAAACGGTGTTTAGAAGTTATGAACAAATAAAACTTGAGTTATTTATTTATATCCGAACTGTATGCTAATAAGTCAAAAGTGACAAACGCAAATGGTTTTTTGCCAGAAACGCGAATTTTAAGAGGAAAAGGAGAACAAAGTTTCACCGAGAAACCCACCAGTTGCATTCAACAAGTTTGGATAATCTTGGGTTTTGTTTCTTTGACTTTTCTTTTTCGGACTTCAAAACGACTATAGGCATGAATATAACGAATAAAGTAGTGCTAAATACAACAACGAAGGCCAAATAATGAACGCAAAATTTGTAACGAAGGATTGAACGGTAAAAGATTGAACGCGAAACATTAAATACGAAGATTGAAATGAAGACTGAAAGTGCGAAGTATTGGACGAAATATTGAACAAGAACATGAAAATTGAATGCGGAAGATTGGGAATCCACAGAAAAATTTGATATGAAAGATTGATGCGAAGATTGAACACGAAAGATTTACAGAAAAATTGAACGCGAAAATGAACGAAAAAATAAAAATGAATGAATAACTAGATAATGGAAGGGCGAAGAAAGCGGTGGACATACATGAAATGGTGTTATGAGGGACTATCGGAAGAGAGCAATATTTAGTAAACACCAAGTGAAGAACCGCGAGTGTACTACCACTGGCGGGCACCGCGCGTCCGCGGGGCGTCCCAGTGGTGAGCAGGCCGGCTCGGTGCGCAGGCGGAGCCGCGGAGCGCGCCATGCGGGCGGGGCGGCGGCGCTCCCAGCGCCGGCGGCCACGCCCTCGAGCCGCGCCGCGGCGTCCGCCCGGGCGGGCTGCTGCGAGAAGCGGCGGGCGCCGGGGCGAGAGGGGAGGCACGGGCGACGGCGGCGGGCGACGCCCCCCGAAGGCCGCTGTGGCGCTGCTGGGGCGGCGCGCGCCCGCGGGCTGCCAGGCACGCAGCCGCGGGCGACCCGTCGGCCCGCCTCCTCCGAGCCATCCTGCGACAGCGCGCGCCGTCATTCGCGCGCCTTCACATGGCACAATCGATAACACCAAAACAGTTTCTTTTCCATTGTAGTATTATCGGTAGGGATACTGAAAGTGTACTTGGCTATCCGGGAGACGCCTCGTTCAAGGCAGAAGTGCCCTGGTCGCGTTGTCTCCCGGGCAGCTAAATACAGACTGGCTTCGGCTGCGGAAGCCTTCGCTGTCAATGAAAGAATTGGTTCCCGCGGCCGGAGTCAGTATCTACGTGGCTGTTTGGCAGCGGAAAACATTTCGCCCTGAGAAAGGCCGCGGGATAACTTCAGAAACGTTGTGCTAATGGATACCTAAATTGAAATATCACTACATTGCGGAGACAGGTTGTAGATACACAGTAAATTGGCAGTTAAAATCATGGAAATGTCTTCCACACGTCGTTTCCTCCTTTTGGCCTTCATTTGCTTGTTCTACTCGTATAGTATAATCCAAGAGTTGTGAAGTTCATAACCACTATTGCAGTAAAGTATGTATATCTGTGTAGTAAACAAATTGTGAATTAAAGTAATGTAACAGTCATTAAGCGTATCACGAAATATCGACGGAAATTAGATAAAACCTGTAGCTATCATTTCCTAATTGTTTTAAGCATTACTTAGCCATATTTAAGGACTTGATATTATCTACAATACATAGTATATTAGTCTATTGTTTGTTTTCATTCGAAGTATTGCATCTAATAAAGTGTATACAAATTATGTAACTGAGTTGCAATAGAAGTTAAAAATATGAGGAGGACTTTTGAAATCATTGTTGTTAATATAATAGTTGATCATATCAAGAAGTCAAAACCTCTCCAGTTCAGATTTGCGTGTTTTTACTGCAATTAATATTATTAAAATCCTTATAAGTTTACATTTTCTTCTCTATTTACGCTCTGCTGATCTTTTCTACTTTATCGCAAATTTATCTCTTTTGTAGCTACAGGTCTAAGATGATAAATGATTTTGACTTCGCAACATTACTCTTAACATCCATCAGACACGCGATAACATCACCATTAGTCCAACATTCACGGAGTTCCCCTTCACTTCTTCCGACATCCCCTCTCACCTCTGATGTTTGCTCGGCACGCGACTTGGCACCTGCCATAGCTGCAGCTTGAAGATTTGACTTGATATCAAAACATCCGCAACTCTCTCAACACCTGGTGTTGGAAATCTCCGTGTTATTTGTGAATACTACAGCTTCTCCGAGTACTTATAAACGGAGTTTTTACGTTTCGACTGACGTTTTTGACAATTACTCATAATTTGATACCAAATACTCAAGTATACCCATTCATTTTAATAAGCAGAATAAATTTAAACAATTATACCTTTTGTGTATATTAGGTATATTATGTATAACCTGTATCCTTTTAAAGGACCTACAGGGATATATTAGCTTTTTGAAGAAAGGCACAACCTTCGTAATATATTCCGAATTACCTCATTATCTCATACTCTCTCTTCATCCTTCAATGTCGCGTAACTTGGACTTCATTTTCTTGTTTCGATGTGAACTTAAATCAAGGCTGCTCAAATGCAAGTATTCAGGCCTGTCTGCCCGCAGTGGCCCACTGCAGTGGCCCGCTTGCCACTCGTCTTTCACTAGACTAGAGCCGACTAGATAGATAGATTTATTAAAGTTTTCAGCTAATGCCAAACATGATTACAATTACAATTTAAACATATACGTAGCAAACACGAATCCTTTTTATCCCCTCCCCAACCCGCCCTTAGGGCTGACTCGACAAGTAGCGGGCCACACCGCAGCGTTCGGCCAGTGGACTCCAAGAAGCGGAAGCCAGCGCTGAAAGAAAGATAGGGCCTCACCTGTGTTCGCGGCGGTCGGTAGCGGCGGCGGGGGCGGCGGCGGCGCCTGCGGCGGGGACGCCACGGCGCCCAGGCTGCGGTAGCCCTCGTCCGACACCTCGGAGCCCGAGTCGGTGTTGGTCTGGCCCGAGTCGGCGACTGGCGCGGTGGCTGCGGGCGTCAGCGCGGGCGGGGGCGGCGCCGCCGGGGCCTCGGCTGCCAGGTGCGGCCCGTCGGCCATGCTGCGGAACAACGACTCAATCAACGGAGGTCTCTGGGAGCTACGTGGTTGAAGCGCTGTCGCTAAGCTTTGCATTTGACCCAGTATGCTGCCAAGAAGTCGCATCGGGTTGATAGGAATAATGAACAGTGGTATATTTTCGAAATTCGTATATTTTATGTTTTCCGGGGCGACATTTACTTAGGTCATTCGTGTGGTAAGTGCCACACATGTTATATCACTGAAGGTGGCGGTGTTCCTACCCCCCCTGAAACGTGAGATACAGCGCTGACCTACACGTCAGTTCAGGGTTTCCCCTTTTAGGAATTGCCCACAGCAAGGCACCGCCCGAACTGGGACAATCTCTAAGCTCCTAACACATATGGCTAAGTAGGGCATGTAAATATGTGTGTTTATGTGTGTATGTATATGTGCGGAAAGGAGGGTACAAGGATCCAGAAAGAAAGATCGCACACGGTCCGTGTTTCGTTTGTGAGTGTACTGATCTATTATTCTCGTAGTATTTATTAGAGGAACCTCGGAAATCTACCCATCAAAACAGCTGGCCACTAGAATTCACCTCCACACAGCGGCTGAATTTGTCCTACCTCAATAGGAGATCTCAGAATAAATCTTTCAAACTTCTAAGGTATGCAGGGAAGGTTAACGAAGATCAGTTTTTTCCAACGAACATGTGATGAAAAATTTCATTTAAAATACATGTGAAAGTTGCCCGCAATTATTCGGCACCCCATGTTCAGTCGAAGAGATTTCGTACATACGCCAAGCCCAAGAGTATGTTGGGTTGCCTGCCAATAGGGCCAAATGACACCTGTAACTTCCTAGCATGTGATTTCCCACCGAATGAACATTGCAAAACGTTATTTTTTTGGACACAACTACATGTATTTCAAATTTGTGACATTTACTCTGAGACGTTCTTTACAGGTCCTGTCGAAACTCCGCCACTGTCGCATCTCGAACACTAAAACCTTCTGGATAATGATGTTGCGAAGGCAACGGTGTTGCCTCTGAGCTGTCGCAGTGAGTGCGGACCCAAGGCTGGATAGAGGGAAGGCCCAACTGACCCTGCTGATCAACTAATTGAACCAATGTTCTTAAACACATTTGACCAACTGTGCCGCGCTGATATCGAATCAGATTGTCGGAAATTAATAGTCAACGATTCTACAAAGGAAGTTGCAGCTGTTCCTTCAGTGTACGATGCATTTTTATTCCTTACTTTATCAGGTGAGAAGGACAATTTTCAGCTAATTAGTATATCAATTCAAAATGTAGTTGTTGCAGGACAGAGATGGCCAACCACTGGTCGCCCGTTCCACTCAGGTACTGTTACTTGTGACATAACTGACTGCTGTATGTAAAAAAATCAAGAATGTTAGGTTGTTTGGAGAAGCGTCTTTTGACAAATATAAGCAAGCACTCTTCAAATTTACAGACACAAAAGTTGGGTTTAATGACTTGGGGCGTACAATGAGGGCGGGTATGTAATCTGCATGCGGAAGTCGCCCGGAGTATTGTCTCGCCCGTACTTGCTGCACGGAAGCACCTGCGAAGCTCCGGGGCGATAAAAGCGACCTTATCGGATTTTACCGCTATCCAAACGGTTCACTGGCAGGTGTTAGTAACACCTACGGGTAAATGGCTTCATGGAAGAATAGAAAGTCACTTGAAATTTAAATGTCGACTATGATTGCCACCTACGTGACAGTGAAACGCAGAAGTGTAAATGGTTCAACGCTATGAATGCGGAGACTCGGATGTATATGCCGAAGGATGGTGTCTCTAAATGTATTCAATTTGTTGAAAGTTCTCTAATTAATGTGATTTGGAAATTAATGTAATATCCTTCTACTGTCTTTAATATTTTCAATTACTGCCACATATGTACATTAGATTTTGTTCAGATTTTTTAAATATTTTTGCGCAGTACATCCGCCGTTTCATATGGATCGACTCACATATCGAGACATCTCAAGATACTTTTGTATGTGAAATTACACTTCCCCCAATGATGACATAATGCATATATCGAATTGGTTTCAGAGTTTTTTGAGGGGAGAACCGATAAATTTGAATCACATGTGAGAACTGCAAACTAGATCTGGGAACCTGGAAATGGAAAAAGGCACCGTAATGGGAGACTCTCATTCCTTCAATTTGTTAAATTCGTTTTCTCATTTGTTACGTAAGTGTTTTTCACATCATTCATGTTTTTTTCCATGACGTACGTTCCTCAGTACGAATTACTAGAAGCATAGGGAAGACACACAAATCGTATGTTCGTAAAGGTACGTCTCCGATGGATCAGTACGGCTCCCTTGTGTATCCCACTATCGTGACAACCCTTTCTGCGGCACTAAAGAGTTATTGCATTATACCCACTAAGGGGGAAAAGAAAAAATGTGACCAGTATATTTTTCTCGATCTCTTTGAGCTCCTTCGGCTTTTTTGGGGGAGTTTTAACGTCTTGTGCTGACACAGCACAGCATTTTTATAAGTCAGTAACTACATGCGATTTGTGACAAAGACAACGAAAGACTGAAACGTATGATATTTTGTGTTTAGAAATCGAGACAAAAAGGAAATTACTAGAGACCGGAAATGGAAAAAAAACTAAAAGGGAATCAAAGGAGAAGAATAATTGCACTTTAAGAACATACTTAATTTAACCAGTGTTTTGACAAATATAAGCAGGCACTCTTCAATTTTACAGACACAAAAGTTGGGTTTAATGACTTGGCGCGTACAATGAGGGCGGGTATGTAATCTACATGCGGAAGTCGCTCGGAGTATTGTCTCGCCCGTTTTTACTGCACGGAAGCACCTGCGAAGTGCTGAGCAATTTTAAATTATTTTCAAAAAAGTCAAAGGAACATTTTTGTTATTTGAAAGTGAAATACATATTTATGATATATACTAAACACTAAATACATATTATGTATGAACATATAATACTGATTTATACTATATAAATATCAAATTTACTATATAAATAGCATTTACTTGTACTATTCCGTACACTTTTTACCTTGCACCCCTCTAATATATGTGTCGCTTGCGCAGTGGCGCCGGTACTCACCTGGCGGAGTGCCTGCGCGAGGGCGCGCGCGCGGGGGCGAGGCCTGTGGCGGGCGACGGCGCGTGGGTGGGCGCGGGTGAGGCGGGAGCGCGAGCGCGAGCGGCGCGCGCGCGGGGCGGCGAGGCGGGGGGCGGTGCCGGTGGAGCGGCCTGCGCAGTGGGCGTGGGCGTGGGCGAGCGGGAGCGCGACCGCCCTGCCCGCCGCGTGGCCCGGCACCAGCCGCCGGGCGTGCCACCGCGGGCCCTCCGCCGCCGCCGGAGCTCACGCTGGACGCGACGAGAGCGGCGCGTGCGCGCGGGGACCTGCGGAACGGGAAAAGGACGCTCAGGGAAAGAGCGGCGCCTTGGTGGTGCAGACGGCGGGCCATTCGGCGGGCCACCCTCATGGCAAATCACGCAGGGCCATACGCAGGGCCATCACGCAGGGCCATCACGCAGGGCCACTCAGCGCCACGCAGGGCCATCACGCAGGGGGCCCATCACGCAGGCCATACGCAGGGCATCACGCAGGCCTCCCGAGGGCATAGTAGGGGCATCCACGCTAGGCTAGTGCGCCATCACGAGGCCATCTAGGGCCATCACGCAGGGCATCACGTAGGGCCATCACGTAGGGCCATCACGTAGGGCCATCACGTAGGGCCATCACGTAGAGCCATCACGTAGGGCCATCACGTAGAGCCATCACGTAGGGCCATCACGTAGGGCCATGTTGCAGGCCATGTTGCAGGCCATGTTGCAGGCCATCTGGCGTGCCATTCGTCGGGCTATTCGGTGGGCCATCCGGTGGGCCATCCGGCGGGCCATTTGACGTGCCATCCGGTGGGCCATCCGGTAGGCCTATCGGTAGGCCAATCGGTAGGCCAATCGGTAGGCCAATCGGTAGGCCATCCGGCGGGCCATCCGGCGGGCCCATCTCGCAGGGCCATCCCACAGTACTATCCCGCAGGGCCATGTAACCTGCAGCATTGTAGCCGGAGCGCTGATTTGCTACCTTCGGCTATTGAATATAGATTGTTCTGTGTAGAAAATTTGGAATGGGATCACGAAAAAATGTTTTTGGGTTCTCCATTTACCCTAGATACTTCTGCTTCTCATTTCACCACTACTACATCATTCGTAACATCATAATCATCTATCACTCAACACACTTATTCTTTCCATATATGACAATAAGTCTTACATATGGTATCACAATAAAGAATGCTTCCATTCATCGGACTATCTGGCAGTCCTCTAGTCATATTCTCCATCCATCCCTTGACGCACCGTAAGTTTTTTGATGGCCGATGTATTTGTCCATCGAAATGCGCATCAGTTGGACCAGCCCTTGAAACACCTACTCGGTTATTCATTGGCAATTTCATTGCGACATCTATTAGAAGAATATTCTTCTTGTAACTGAAACTCCGTCCTTGGTTAGGAATCGGCAAAACGGCCGACGGGACTATACACATCTGTCCATCTGGCGAAGACTTCGTGCTTGCTGCACTAGGATTGCCTGAAGAAGAAGCTTTCTCACGTACACAAGCACACGTGCTCGTATGCCCTTTTCTACAAGTGCAATTGCTAGGTGACCTTGTAAATCTCGATAGGGGGAAAGATCACGATGCTGGCCGACAGGGAACGGGCAGTGGTCCAAGAACTTGTCCTTGTCATTTATTTGAATCAAAAACGTGATATTCATAGCAATTTTTATTCCCTTTGGAATACCACAAAAATAAAAATAAAACAATATGTAAGTGACGGGTAACATTAGTGTGAAGACGGACCACAAAACTTGAATACGCCAAATTTGAAATGTGTGATCCTTTAAAATAAGAAACATTGGCCAAAAATTGTTTGTGGGAGATATTACAACCCATTCAAGCTTCTCTGCTTGAATGCAGGAAAATATCATTAATAAATGAGAAGTATTGTGT